CATAAAAATACATTGGAAGTAGGTAATTGGAAATGACGAAAGGTCAATGCCGATCTATGATGAAAGTTGAGAACAGAATCTATCGCAACTTAACGAGATTCGAAAGAATAGCTTCAATAAGATTGACGAACAACCTAGAACTTGTCATGAGAGATGTTAAACGGAATGAATGGGATGAAGTGAGGCTCATTGGAGACGCTTGCGACAGATTATTTCCAAATCTGATGGAGCTTCTGTCGGACTCTAATATTCTTATAGGATTAATAGGTCAGGTACAAATTCTAAACATTTACTACGGGAACGTATGGTGGACACTACCGAAGGCTTACAGTGGAAGCTATCGGTAGGGTCCACCATACGTTCAACAAGCAATACGAGCCTAATATGTCTCAAAACGACCTCTCGCACTGTTAAATTGTTTAAACTAATCAAAGTTACAACAAAAGGGCTGAACATTAAGTGAAGTTGAAAATCACATTGTATGTACGGTGTAAGTTTCTAAAAATATGAAAACCCCTGCATCTTACACTGTGTAAACTTACTACCCACCCCGCCTGCGACAGAGCTCGGTCGGGTATCGAGGTTCCCACTAAACTATAAGTGATATCACTTGATGACTAGAATTTCATGAAACCGGTCGCTGGTGGTTAGGAATTCCAGTTGTGTGTAACAAACTGTCGCGTTAATTGAGGTGAAAATGGAACCTATAGTACGGTTCGCTGCGTGCTCAGCTGGATCAAACAGGGTGTGAGTGGATGGATGTGATCGGTGGCGGGCGGACGCGGGCGGGCGCGTCGCGTCGCGTCACGGCGGCGTCCCTGCCAGTGTTGCCAGAAGGTTACTTTTGTAACCTTTTAGGTTGCTTTTGAACTGCATTGGTTACTTTTAGGTTACACTAATGAAAAGGTTACTTTTAGGTGATTTTTCAGAAATTGTAGAATTAACTTTTACAGGTTATTCAGTAAAAAATATTAATAGTGACAATTTAAGAATTATGTCACAAACTGCATTTAAACATGAATTTGATTTATTATTTGTAAAAAAAAATTAGTTTCGATAATAAAACGCAAACCCAGGAAACGTTTTTATACGACCGGTCACTTTTCGGTCTTCATGGAATGGTCAAAATTTCTAAATTCTAATTTAGGTAAAAGATAAATAGATGATCAAATTGTATTCGTTTTCGCTCCCCCCAAGTATGAAGGTTACTTTTCATTCAAAAAGGTTACTTTTTTTATATTTCTGGTAATTTCTGACAAGACCCGACTGGCAACACTGGTCCCTGCGCACTTGCGCGCGCCACCCGCTCCTACAACGTGTCGCCGCTATCGCTTTCACGTCGTGGTTATCGCCCCAGTGATAATCTGCATAGTGCGAACCGTTATTGAAAGCCACGGTACTAGTTTGTGCGTGAAGGCTACAATAGCGGCACTTTAATCTGATATTTATTGACCGAGAGATCGAATGAGGCTGTACTGTGAGGTGACCTAAATCTGACGCTAATAATATGTGTAGGTAATGCGCTAGTGCCTTAGGGTTTTAAACGGAACAATATGCTGGTTAAATACGAATAACATTTTTACCCAACAATAGAGGAAATAGTGCCAAAACATGAACCCTTGACGAGTCGCAGATTGTAAAACCGTAAAACGAATGAAAAACTTATTTTGTGCAATTAAGTCAACGGAATTAAGCTCAAGACATGCATTGGGTGTTATAAAAATAAATTGCCAATTTTGAGATACAAAGTTCCTGAAATGAAAGAGTTGAACATTGTCGCGGGGCGTGGGCTGGTGGCGGGCGAGGGAGGACGCGCGCGCGCCTCCTATCAATGATCAATTTTGGTTCCGGCGAGATTATCTTTTGATCGGAGCAATTTCTCTTCGGTCTTGTTCTTGATAACATCGGGAGAACAACGGTTTGCATCGTTCTGCATAATTATAAACCTGGAATTAAATCCGTGAATTCCCGTGTAAGCACACATGAATACATACATTGTATGAACAAGCAACGATCTCCGATAAGGAGCTGTCGGTAACTCATTTAATGCGAAGCTTATCAGTTGCATAAGTTAGAATAAGCCGAGTTCACATTATGCAAAATAAAATAACAGAAGACGCCTGTGAACATTTAGAACTTAATCCTCGACTTGATTACGAGAGTGTACTAAATTTTAAATTAATGACTAGTAGGTACTTAACTTAGTACTGACCATATTATTGATTTCATACAGTGAAATAAATGTAAATAATTACTTAATCTTATTTTTTTATTTATAAAACCAGTGGCGGNTTCCTAGAATTCATACATTTCCTGTAACATATGTACTATTTTGGAATCCTTATAAAATGCGCCAAATTTTGAAGTTACTTGCCAAATGCGCGTAGTACAATTTTGTTTATTATTGTATATGGATTGTGTATACGTATAATTATATTATTTTTTTCTGTAAAAAAATAGCTAAATTTACCGCCCCTCTAAATCTGCCGCCCTAGGCACTGGCCTACTTGGCCTATTGGTAAATCCGCCACTGTATAAAACTCCCATTTACACGTTAAGTTTCTATTGCGCCACAATGTAGAGCATTGTACCTATTTTTATCTTGTCAATGACTGTCAATCATCATCATCGTCATAATCTCAGCCATTTAGGACGTCTACTGCTGAACATAGGTCTCCCCCAATGCTTTCCATATTCCATGTTTAATGACTGTAACCTACAATAATTTATTGTTATTGTAATCAAGTAAATTACAGACAGACCTTAGCAATGTATTTCACCACTTCATATTATTAACTATTGCATCGATCGTCCCATCACATTTCCAAAGTATATCGATAGTTCTCATGAAAATTTTGCAACAATAAAAACGAGAACGCGGATGTGAGGGAGGCCGCTAGAGTAGAGAGCGAGGCAATCAGAAACAATTTTCTATTACTATTTCTCGTTGGACATATTCCGACAACAAACACGATCGTCCCGAGAGCCGTGGGAATGCCCCAGTCGAGTAACGGACGGACGGACAAATGATGTTGGGCGATCTATTGCCTGTAATTGATGACGACTATTGTACGCTTTTGAAAGAGCCACGAATGTTTGTCTTCGTTCTGTTACCTTCCGTTTGTTTGTTGCTATTGTTAAACTGAGGTTATTGCCTTAATTCGCGAAGCTATTACTCTAATAAATGCTTACACGCTAAAGATTCAGTCATCTTCTAACTGGCTGGCAATCAGGTGCCGTTAATCCACTTGACACAGTAAACACGCTTCGAATAACGTATGACTATTGTCGTTAATAGTAACCTCTTTCTATGTTCTGCGATAGCAACAATAAGGCACAAACATGTTGGTATAGTTATAACATGTGTGGTCATTATATAGACAGTTAAAAGCTATACCGATTTTGATAAAACATAGAGTGAAATAAGAAAATAACCATTTCGCAACTGATTGACATAGCTGAAATTATTTTAGGACCTTCGCCAGGCTATCTAATTGCTGCACTTTTCATAATACTCGTACAATTTTAGGACACATCTGTATCCAATTTGTTTGATCAGTATGTTATTTATTTATTTATTTTATTTTAATTACACAGGTTTTATATTACGTAATTAAATAGTTATGCCTTACGATATTCCTTTTATTGGTGCCATTTTAAAAATACCTTTTCAAATAATTGTTTTTGCCAGCACGTTACAAAGCATCGGGAATCGGCTTCCACCCGGCTGGAACGAGTAGCTAGCGACTACTATCTTGTAACCTGTTCACTTAAATACATGTTGCTGTTGGTGTTGAATAATAAAAAGCCGAAGCGACGATTAATTTCAATTAAGTAATAAATAACGCTCGAAGTCTATTCCTTGGGTTGGAATTATAGATGTCTTTATTCAAAAGTGCGGCAAGTAGACGGTAGGCTGGTGATAAATTTAGAAAATGGCGTTGGGCGCCGGCGCCTGCGATCGCTATCAGGCGCATGAATCAGCAGCGTCGTCGCCGCGGCCACCCGCGCCGCCGCAACTACACGTCTGCTGCCTTCGGACTTGGCTAGACCAAGATCTTATACTTACAGTTTAGACAGAAGGTATTCTAAAGTCCGCGCCAGTAGACTCTGTATATTTTACGTATGATAGACAAAAACCCCGAACAAAGATTGAATTGTCTTACGCCCGTATTATAAACATTACTATGAGGTCTTACAGTGCGCGTGGAAGGACGAACCTATCACAGAGCTCTATTTAATGCTGTGCGTTCGATTTGCTGCTTCACTTAAGCAAGCAACGTGTGAATACGGGTGTCAGTATACCATTGCTTAGATTGATACACTAACTCAAATCAACAAAGACGTTTGGATGCCAATGCTATGCCGACTTAAGTATTTGTTTTAAAAATATAGAGTTTCTATTGGCTCGGAGTATACGTAACTTAGTTTGCGAATCCGTAGCATAACGCGGCACACGTAAAAATTAAAAGAATAAAATATTATTACAAAGTTTATTAAAAATGTAAAAAATGCAAAGATTATAAATCTTACATCAAGCAGCCACAAAGCTTTTAAACACATTAATAATACAAAGTAAAACATAACATAGCAAATGCGAGGAATGTATGAGTAATATTAATACTATAAAATCATTAATTTTAGCTCATTTAATAAAGCAACGACGCCAACACATACACAAACATTGCAAAATTATAGATTCATTTACAAGTACTTAAAACAATAAAAAACTTATATTATTAGGCTCATAATTATATTCAACTCTAGTGATATTACAATTTTTTTTAAATCTATATTAGCAAAACCATCTTTGTTATGCTGTGATATGTTAATAATTTCAAATAGGTATTTAAAATGTTCCTTATGACAGAAATTCAATACATTTTTATTTACTGTATAAGTTTAGACAACCTGTAAAATGCTTAGCCATAATACAGATTTATACAAACAAAATTTCAATTAGTTGATTTTCGTTAAGCGATTGCAATCTGCTTATGTTAAAAAGTTATGAGCGCAGAGCCCGGGGCCGGGCGGGCTTCGTCATTAATTTCCCTTAATAAATATTGCTTCCATATTATTTGATTGTTTTGCGCTTTATTGCTCTTATGCTTCTTAATTTTAGGGATCCGTTGAGCATACTTGGTCAAGAAAATGTTTACTTACTTATTTTAAAACTAATTAATGTAAAGCGGCGGTTTACTTATACAATCCAACTGCGACACATGTACAAACAAACATATTTTACATTTGATAGTAATACTTGAAATGCTTAGGCATTGTACAATAAATAACCCCTAGAGGCTTTATATGTCAATTTACACTCGATAAAAGGACTCGCACATAATCGACTATATCTGCAATTATGTTCGCAACATAGCCATAAAAATAACAGACACATCTTACCGGACAAATATAAGAAGACTGTCGATGTAATAAATTCATAAAAACGTACATAGTACTTAAGTTTACTGGCCAAAATTACTGAGAAACTGAGGATTAACTGTAACAGTGTACATCAATAATTCAACGGGACATGAAACTCGCGGCCGATCTTGTGAACAATTTATCTGAATATCGCGGACTGTAATTATGGAACTTACGTTCGACGGCGCTGTTACAATTAAACTAGCGGTGCATTCGCGAATAATAAATAAACCAGATTATATCAATAACATTCTTCGCTTCTTTAAAGACGACATTTTAAATTGTTCAACGAAAGATAAGTAATTTAGGTACATTTCATTTCACCATACCACAGGAAGATGTAATTCATAACATCATAAAAATGTACATGTAAGAGATAAAATTTCGTTCATTTTCGCATGTAGACCTCTTTAAGGCATTTATTTCTCCGAATAAAATTAAAATTAATTAATTAATTAATTCAGACCTCCATAGTACCTATAGTACATAAAATAAACCAGGCAAAAACAGATTATGCTAATACTTGGATAGATTCTAAGCGTTAATATGCCATTTGCGGTTAATACTTTATTTTTGTGTAATATTCTGACTTAGCCTGATGCAATAGGAAGGAAAACCATTTCAAAAATCTATGAGGACGCGAGGCCGGCGATTCGCGCCGTGCTTCGGGATATCATGGCACCTTTAAATAACTTTCTCGTATGTTTTAAAGATGTACTTAGCAGTTGGCACCATTTAAATAAAACAATAAAATAATAATGTGCCTTATATGATTTTATCCCAATTAGTTCACACTTAAACAAAATAGTTTTTCTGTTGATTTGAAAAATTATGTTTAATCAATGAAGTTGGAGATTAAAAACGCTATTAATTTTAATTGCGTTTTGTTTGACTTGAGCTTATAAAAAGTACTTAATGTTAATTATGCAATTGTTACATTATCTAATATTATTTTAAATTAATGTTATTTCTTACGCTTATTTTTATAGAAATGTTGCATTAGCGTTTTATTATAACTAAGCTTAACTGTTTCTCTAAAAATGTTAATTATGCTCTCATATCTCTTCAACATTTTATGTTATTTGAGATTCATCTAACAGCCACTAAAATATCTAACGCAATCATCACATCATTAGCATCACTTCATTAATACTTTGTACCTACAAGTTATCACAATAAGTAAAAACCATTGCACATCTTAGGGTGGATTCGACCAAACAAGAGTAAATATTAATCTCAGAATTACGTCAGTTTTAACATTTTTCCATACTGAAACTGTTAATCTATGAAATGTCTATCTGACCTTATGGTTTTATCAACTCTTCTTTTACACCCCTGACCTATTAGGTACACAAAGAAACAACTACTTTACCTAAACAAATATGAAATAATACATATATTTTAATGACACTAAAACAATGTTATAATGTATTAAAGTGCCCATTTTATTAGTGTTCTGTAGTGACATTTTTAAAAATAGTAATATATTATTTTAATTAATAATTTTGTTAGATGGGAATAATCTCTGTAAATTCTGTTTGATAAAACCACTACATATTTTGTAATTCATTGAAAGTAGCAAATTCGTTTTCATAAAATATCGATATCAATGCATAAACAATTATTTGAGCCTCAAATTGGAATTTTAGAAGTAAATGTCCATACGTATTGGTTAATACGACGTCGCGACGTTGCCGTTGTACCCATACATAAACGTCACATGACTTTTTTGTTGAAATGTCTTTGAACCTAACATTCCTACATAACTATTCCTACCTTAGGGTGAGTTGCACCACCTAACTTTAACGGTAACTATAACGTTAACCGGTGCTTTTTGTATGGCGTTTGACAGATTTTTGACGCATGGTGCAACCCAGACCTTTTTAGCAGATTTCTGCAATGAAATTTTTTAATTGTTTAATCTCTTACCTTTAAATCTATAATTCTTCATGCATTCTCTTCATAAGTGATGCTTCAATAAAACTCTTGAAATCCGGTCGTTTCCTCACGTGTTCCGCACATTTTGCAACCAGTCTTAAAAACTCTTCGACATCAAAAGAATAATTCGTAAACTTTGCATGTGAGCCGTTGGGCCCGTGTCCCTAAATTAAAATAAATTATTTAATGAGGTTTGATTAAACAATACAAAAAAACAAATTATATTTGTACTTTTCAAAGTATTTTACCTCATCTTGTTGAACAAGTTTCTCTTTGTTTTCCCAAGTGACATATTTAAGACCACGCAATCGCGCTAGATCAAAATAACAATTCGGATCTTCACAATTGTACCTAAAAATAAACATAATTAAGTTCATATAATGGTACAATACAAATGCTTGTAAAATTGTAAAAGAAATGCTGTGTATACCTGTAATTGAGGTCATATACGTATCATGTGTTAAACCATGTTAAAATGTATGAACTGTATTATGTATGTGACTTTGTTGGTGTACCTAATAAATAAATAAATAATAAATAAATAAATACCAAATATCAAGTACGAAACGACAAATAACCAACCATATTGCACTCTCTAGAGTCTAGATGGTACCTTATCGACAGTGCCGCCAAATGCAATAGCTTTTATTAAAATATTTTACAGTTATTCGATTAACTGTTAAATATTTTAATAAAAGATAGTATTGCTACTTATTGGATTAAAATTAAATTATTTTAAGAAATGTATACTTTCAACTACCCATATTACACTTACAGTTCAAAAACAGCTGCCCAATCAGGCAAAAACATTAGATGCGTGAGACCAGCGCCATGAATGCCAATAAACACGTCTGTGTTGTGAGTTATCTCTAGCTGCTTAGTGAAGGGCATAGTCCTGTCATAGACCACTCTTTGAACATAATAGTCGTCCACCTTATGCAAGGCATCCAGGAGCTGTTTTTCATTCAATATCGATCTGTATGTTGTTCCTCTAGAAAGTAAAGTAACCCTTATCTTGTCACTATCGCGTATTTGAAGCTTTACATTCAATGAGTGTAGTATGTGCTTCGAAAATGCATGAAATAGTCCACTTCTCTCACAGCCGTAAATCTGAAAATGGGAGAAAAAAAATCAAGTTTGATTAAGTTTTTAATTTTCTGCTTAACTTTTTAAATAAAACAGCAACTGGCAACTAAAGAACTGCAAAAAAGGCAACTGCACTATGCGTGGCCTGATGTTGCCTGCTTTCGACAGTATGAGGTACTAATATTATCAATATAACTTACCAATGGAGTGTTGTAGTAAAGACCAAAAATCATTCTTGGCAGCAATGGTAGTACAACATTCTTAAAACATACAACTTTTCCTCTAAAAGTTTTTAAATCCAATATGGGATTAATGGTAAAAGCTTTGAAGGCTTCCTTAAAAGCAGAGTCATATGTAAAAGTTTCCCATACAAGAATGTGGTTATCTCTTGAAAATGTAGATGGATGAGTAGAGTTCACATGCAAACTAGCATACAAGTTGAAGAAATCACAAAAGTGATGATACATGTTTACAGCTGTAACAAAACAAAAGAGGAGGTTAATCGTTTAATGAAAATTCCTACTTAATATAATTTAATTAACAGTCATAGTTGAACAGTCTCCATTTACCTGCGTCCAACTTCATAATGAAAGTTGGTTTATCAATAGTAACATCACAAATACCACTTGGAATAGGCCTTTTATCTGTTTTTACAAAATTCACTAGCTCCGGGGCCCATGATTGCAGGGCACTCATGTGTTCAGCCTCTTTCAAGAGACGCTCCGAATATAAATTGCAGTAGCCTCCTGAAACACAATGTCAAATAAAATCAATGGGGCTTGAATTTAAAGAACATTTAAAAAAACTAAAAGCCCATTAGTTTTTAAAATGAATCGAATTAGTAACACACTTTGAGGACTACCTGTAATCTTATTTATCACTTATGGAAATGTAGCAGAAAACTTATTAACACTACTCCTTAGGAGTACCTATAGAATATAAAGCATTTGTCTCAAAACAGGTTACATTTACAAAATGTGGATCACGTGAAAGTTTGATTCAAAATAACTCTAATCCTCTTACAAAATTAGTTAAATATTGAAGACATTTAAAATGTCATTTTCTTACATAATGTCATTTAACTTGGTGTTACATGCAGTAGTACCTCTGTACCTCTTATTAGTAAGGGGGTCTATTTGTTAATTCTCAAAATAAAAGTGCAAAAATTACCTATTTGTCCAGGTCCTAGTATGTCCATCTTATAACGAAGATTATTACCGCGACCCACTAGGCCTGTAAAATTCAGCATGAGGTTCCGCCCTCTGCAAAACCTGAAAATTGTAAGATTCACTAACTTAATTGTAGCTTGCTTGATTCAATAACAATAGAAAGGTAGTAATCAATTAAATCAGGCACAGATTGGCAAAGAAATATCCTGCTTGAAAATAAAACAAACTTAAAAATAAATTAGTTAAGTCTAATGTATGTATAATGCAAATAGGCAGTATTGCACATAAAACAGGATAACTAAAAGATACTTATCATACTAACAAAATTAGATGTTTCATAAATTGTTACTTGGTATTAATTTGTAGTTATGTATGAATGTAATAAATAAATATCCTATATAGATAGAAAGTGTGATTCTGTAAAGTATTTAGGACAATTATTGAAGTCCCAAAATCATATTTGAAAATGAATAATAGATCTACAATTTAAAGTTGTTTAATATAAATTTCTATACAAAGTTGCAGGCCTAACATCTATTTATTTATTTAAATGAGGACATTACTTATCTGTATACCAACCTTAAGTATTTGGAGCATTCAAGGGATGAGTCAAGAGGATATGAAGCTTCACACATTACCATTAACTCTTCTATTTGTTCTTTAACATAACCTGAAAACAATTGAAGTCGAAATTAATTCATTAAATAAACGGATAATTAAATACAATCAACGGAAAAAGACAGTTGTACCTTCTAAAAACAAATATTTTATTTACAGATACTGCCTGTGAGTAAAAAAAATAAATGATAGTAATTTACCTATTATTATTATAGAAGATTAAGTTCCAATACTAACCAAAGTCTGCTTGGGTAAAAAATGTGGAATACTGAGCTTCTTTCGTCTGAACCCAACCACGATGGTCTCCGGGACATCGCGGTCTAACGTGATATGATAGAGACTGATTACAGTTACGTTCATATCCCCAACAAGCTTTTCTTCCGACCAGGTTTTTAAAAGGACACTCGGGGTCAGCTAAACAAGCTTTAGCGACAGTTTCAAATGTGTTGAAATAGTAAATCACATGTTCTGGTGGTAAATTTACATGATTTAAATATGAAGAATATGTATTCATTGATGATAGTGCAACTAAGAAGAATAATAAAAATGTCCACATGTTTAATACAGCGAATAAAAATTAAAGAATAAAGAAAAATAAATTTAAAACTTTAAAACAATAAAACAGATGGTTTGGTTCATTTGGTTCAACAACTTTTGACATTGACAGATTGAACTACCGATTGACAGTAATGACAGAACGCAGCCAAAGATGGATGAAGCAGAAGATGAAGAAGAAATTAAAAAAAAATGTTAAACTCTAATTTTTTTAAAATACAATGCGATACGCTTTATGTATTGTGTAGACTGTAAGCTTTAAGTAAGCTGCCAGAAAGCTACTTTTTCTCAAAATAAATGAAAGTCAAACATCCTAGCTTAGCGTGCTGTGTTTTAGTGAAAAAATAAGGTGTTCGGATTTTTAATGGAAAGTGCTTAAATCCGTTGTTTCGTCTTTGTTTGCGCGTGAACTTTACTGCGATACCGAATTGCACTTCAGCTGGAATGACATTGGAGCGTTGCTGAAGTGTAAACTGGAGATGAAACGCGATCTAATTGGAGACATTACAACTTAGTTAAAATTAGCGCAATCGGGGCACAGGGCCCCAATTTTTAACAATTCATTGGCGCTTCTTCTCTAGTTTCGCTACGTTTTTCATTCCAGAGCCCCGATTACGGTAATTTTTAACGTCTCCAATCCAGACACGCTTCTCGATTCTGCGATACGATTGGTCGTTCAACAGCGTACGTCCAGCTGTTTTGACCAATCGTATCGCAGAATCGATGAAGCGCGTCTGGATTGGAAACGTCAAAAGTTACCGTAATCGGGGCTCAGCTGAGGTGCAAATTCGGTATTTCACGTGCAAACAAAGACGAAACAACGGATTTAATCACTTTCCAATAAAAGTCCGAACAACTTATTTTTTCACTAAAACACAGAAAATGTTCATGTAGGCGTTTGACTCGAGTTTGAGAAAAAGTAGCTATAGATGACCCACGCTGAACTGTCCCACCAAACTCAATGACAGGGGGGCGCTACCATCGTTCAACTATATGGTTTCCAACATGGCAAAAATCTGAACCAGCGATCCGGTATTGACGGTGGCGCCTAGAGATGGGTAGTGGGTAAAAACCCATTTCACCCGATTGGGTTTAAACTGGGTGATTTGGGTAAAAACCCGGTTTTTACCCATTATCACCCATTCTGGTGGGTGAAAACAAAAATAGCGTTTTTTTAAAGTGAGAAGTGGTATTTGTTGCTAAGGGGGCGTTCTAGTGTTACGTAATGCAATCTGGGGGGAGAGGAGGTCTTGAAAAACGTTACAATGCGTTACAGTGGCGGAAGGGCGGTTCGATTTCAAGTTTTTAAGCAGAAGTACTTTGTAGTTGGTGTTGTTATTTGTAACTTTATACCGTAATGTCATCAAAGAGAGAGTTTGGCATCTTTGGCATCCCCTCCCTCCCCCCCTCCATGTCCTTGCCATGATCACAAATTATTGTGTTCCTACTAAATTTCTTCTAAATCGGTTCAACGATTCTTGAAATAACACCATTTTATAAAATAATTGGTCACATCATCATAACGTGATCAATTTTACGATTTGGCCACGATATAAATGCATATTAGTGTTAAATTTGATTTATTACTTATTAATCAATAAACTTAAATGAGAAAAATTCAATAAAAATAAAGAAAAGATACCAATTGAAATAATTATAAAATTATTTGTTTTCACCCGGTGTAAACACCCACGGGTGGAATGAAACGGGTTTTTATTGGGTTTTTACCCTCATGTGGGTTTTTACCCGGGTGGAAACCCATCTCTAGTGGCGCCCCACTGTCAATGTCATCGACAGGACAGTCCAGTATTTTGGAACTATAGTCGCGTTGTAGTTGAAAATATTTAGCGCAATCGGGGCACAGGAAACCTCAGAATTAAGTTTAAAATGGTAACCATTCAATACGTGTCGTGGTCGACTCCATCTCCAGCTGATGAGCTTTATGCTCAATCTGTCGTTACTAGATCAATGACATACGTCAATTTTTGTTTCGCGCCTTTTCCGGAAACAAAAGTCCCAGGCAAAGGAAAAGGAAGGAGTCGCACCACCACGTGAACAGCGTCATCCAATCAGCTGGTAAATTTTTAGCCCGCGTTGTTTCACTCCCTGTTGTTTGGTGCTTTCGTGATAGAATTAACGTTACATTATTTACAAAAGTGTTGTTATTATTGTATATTATCAAAACTAGGGAAATATGGGGCGTCGTTAAAGAGTGTGTGTTTATTTTAGCGGCTCCTGACCTTCAATCTTATTCCAAAATATGTCGCCATTTTGACCATACAGTAAATTGAGTTGAGTATTCTCTATTTATTTAGGTCATAAACCTAAGCTTTAATTCTTGAAAAAGCGAGTTCTTTCAATGGATGAATTACTCCAAGAACTACGGAGAAAATGTCCCAGAAAAATAGTACGCTAAAATTCATAGTACATGACGCCAATGGTTAGTAACGCTAAAACTTGCCTTCTTTTTCCTTAATTTTTACGTAAACATCATTTTTATAAACTTTCTAGTTTATCTAAAAGAATTCTCTTTTATTGAATTCAGTATGAACTAAAAAGGGAATGGTTAGCCTTTGATAGGTCCGTTTGAAATACCTTTGTCGGCGTCTGCAAGGGCTCTACCGGCATTCAGTGTTAGTTAGATGTAGATGTAGTAGTTGAAAACATCCACTTATTTGTACTAATTACATCCTGCGTACTTAGTAGTCATTCTGATAGATATTAATAATACATTGATTGTTTGTTATAGGACAGCTAAAATTTGTGCATAACAAAACTAATCCATCAATTGCTCAACTTAAACTGAAGCCGAATTCTTTAAAACTAATTAAGATACCAACCAACAGTGAAGGGATCGAACAGGTATGATGCATACCCATAATATTCATCACTACCTCAGTAGGTATTTGTATTTGAACAGGTGCCCCTCATTCATCTAAACTTCTTTGTATCATTTAGTTTTTAATAGATATCAAAAATTCATATTGTAGTTCTATGGTGGCCAATTATACATAACTAATTAAGTAAATTCTTATAGTACAAATAATTGGTCAATTATTTTAAAAATATGGTACAAAGATTACATGGCATTGTCCAAAAACAGTCATTAAGAAATACTTAACAACAATGCAAATTTTCTAATTGGTCCTGAGTTCCTGAACACAACCACAAGCTATTGGTTCAAAGACCAATTACTTAGGTTTTATATGATTGTGCATGCCTATTTTGTACCAACCTGGAATGTACATAGCTGATAGCTTCTTAGACAGCAGAGCAGGGTTTTTATAAATATCTTAATTTCTTGTTACAGATACCTACATATCAAAGTGTGAAGTTAACTGACATTATCAATGCATCAAGTAAGTTGTTATTGATTGCTATATTTTGAAAAAAGAAGTGTGATAATTATCTTGAAATTTGGATTTTTTTATATTGGAGAATTAGCTTGTTTGAATACAAAATAATAAAATTAGGTAGCCTTTACTTTGGTACACAGTAATTTTAATAGAGCTCTTATTATGCTGTGATTTAATTATCATAGTTGTTGCATCAATTTGTGATAGATTCTTGAGATTAACATTAAATTCTTACACTGACCTGTGTTGATTTCAGACTTGATACAGTCATCAACAGATACTTTACCACAAATACAGAAAATAACACCAAAAAAGGATTTTGTGGAAGAAGAACCTACTGAGGTAAGATATGCACCAATAACCATTAACATTGACACAAGATAAGATAATAAATCTTCATTGACTCTTCTACACACAGATAAAAACAAAAAAATTAACCACTCATCTCAATTATGATAGTTTATACCATTCAAATGTTACATATTAGATAGTGCAGTTTACAAAACTGTACCTATTATTGTTTTGTTTATTCAGTCACACACACATGTCTCACTGGACAGTCTTGGGCTTAGTCTGAATGTATAGTGAAGATGAAATAATACAGAGAGCCTTATTCATTGTATGTTGTAATTTTTGGACTTAACTAAAATATGTACTGAACTGGTGATTCACTAAATATTTCCATACTTGTAGTATGAATTGTTTTATTTCTTTAGCATAGCATACAAAGATGGCCAAAAAATGTAAACATTGACACTATCTGTAGTTGATTGTCTATCTTTTTGTAAAGCATTGTCTGGTTCAATCATAAAGGGAATTTAATGTATTACTATTTTATTTATATTACAGGTGCATCCATTATCAGAGCTAAAGTATATACACACTAAACCTAAATTAGTGCCAATACCCTCTGATAAGTCATCAACTATGTCACATGCTTCTAGGAGAAGACATGATTCCGACAATGATCATCCTACAGAATAGTAAGTTGTATTATATTTATTTCTTAGTTTTTAGTATCATCTCTTTTCCTCATGGTTTTAGACTTATTAAACCTACCTCATGGTTTTGCTTTATCTGTGTCTAATGACAAAAGTGGGTTACACACTGACCTTTATATTAATTTTCAGTACAACAAAGAGACGTAAACATGCTGACAAAGTCGGAAAAGGTTTAAGGCATTTTTCCATGAAAGTGTGTGAAAAAGTAAGGACTAAAGGGTTCACCTCATACAATGAAGTAGCTGATGAACTTGTACTTGAGTTTGCAACTGGAATCCATGGTTCAGCTGATAGCCAAGTATGTGTATTTTTTCTATATAAGAATAAAATGGTGCCTGTTTTTGTCACAGTAACTGTTTGGTCTCTGTTGACCTTTTTTCGTCCTTCATTGGTAACATGCAGTTGTGCACATTATGTGACAGGAAAAACACCATTAATCGCTCCTCTCCTAATCGATTGAAATTATTATCTTAATTATTAATTACTACAATGATTCTAGCAATATGATCAAAAGAATATTCGGCGGAGAGTATACGACGCACTAAACGTATTGATGGCCATGAATATTATTTCTAAAGAAAAAAAGGAAATTCGGTGGCTTGGATTACCCACTAACTCAGTGCAAGAATGCACTTCATTGGAAAAAGAAAAACAAAGCAAGTTAGAGCAGATACAGAAAAAGACTCAACAATTACAAGAACTAAT